GGGTGGATCACCTGAGGTCAGGAGTTTGAAACCAACCTGGCAAACATGGTGAAATCCTGTCCCTACTAAAAATACAAAAAATTAGCCGAGCATGGTGGCACGTGCCTGTACTTCCAGCTACCTGGAAGGCTGAGATGTGGTGAATCACTGGAACCCAGGAGGAAGAGGTTGCAGTGAGCCGAGATCACACCATTGTTCTCCAGCCTGGGCAACAGAGTGAGACTCCATCTCAAAAAAAAAAAAAAAAAAAAGAAAAAGAAAAGAAAAATGCCTGTTACTTCTGGTAGATGCCCTCTGCTAACTTTGCTTCTCCCTTTGGGGGTTCCTGGTAGACCACAGCTAGATCAGTGGGTGCCACGTTCACTGTATCAAGTGTAGAAAGGGCAGCTGAGATCATATCAAAGATCCCAGAAAGAGTGGCACAGGAACTCTCAGGGCGCATCTCTCCCTTGCCCCGTCCCTGGATTTCCTTGCAGCTCTCCACCTTCTCAAGGAGACATAAAATCAGGGTCTTGGGTTCCAGTCCTATTCAGAAAGTTGGAAACTTTCAGAATGCACCTGAGATGTAACTGTGGTTAAGACCTCCAACCTCCGCTTAAATCTTTCTGGAATCTCGAAAACAATGAAGTTATTCTTTGGGTCCTGAGACAGACCCTTTTATTGTGAGTCTCACTCTTTCCACTTATCTGTGCAATACAGGCAAAATGTTAGTCTCTGAGAGTCAGCACTGTCTTCCGAGTTTAATTCGAGTTCATCTAACTGCACTGAGTAATGGTTAAACAAATCATGGGTGCTACCTGAGTGATAGATACATGAAGTAAAGGCAAAGTCATATTATAATTTCAGTATTATATTGAGAGTAATGGCAAAAATCACAATAAATTTTGCACCAAGCAAATATTAATATTTTAAGGTTGATCTTCATACAATTTAGCTGAAATGTCTCATGACCTGATGTTACGATTCCTTTGCATTTTTCACAGAACTTTTTTTTGAGACATAGTCTCCCTCTGTCACCCAGGCTGGAGTACGGTGGTGCGATCTCCGCTCAATGCAACCTCTGCTTGCTGGGTTCAAGTGATTCTCATGCCTCAGCCTCCCAAGTAGCTGGGATTACAGGTGAGCGCCATGACACCAAGCTAATTTTTGTATTTTTAGTTTCGCCGTGTTGGACAGACTGGTCTCTAACTCCTGACCTCAGGTTATCCACCCACCTCAGCCTCCCAAAGTGCTGGGATTACAGGTGTGAGCCACTGCCCCCGGCCCCTTACAGGAATTTTTACTTTTGTCCTTATGTAAGTCCTGAGTACAGTCACAGGAAGGAGTGTGTCTCTTTCATTTCTGATTCCCTAGAACCGATACTTTCCTTGGCACAGAGGAAGCATCAAATGTAAAAACGTTTGTTAAATATTGGATATTGTTGGCTGGGCATGGTGGCTCATGCCTGTAATCCTAGCACTTTAGGAGGCCGAGGTGGGTGGATCACCTGAGGTCAGGAGTTCAAGACCAGCCTGGCCATCATGATGAAACCCCATCTTAAAAAAAAATAAAGTAAAAATTTAAATATATATATATGTATATGTATATAGGATATTGTTAAATATTGACCCTTCCTGGGTTCCCAAAAATTGGCTGTGATAACTTTGGATTTAGCTTAGTTTGTCCTTTCCTGCCTGTCTTTTTCATCCCTTTCAGGAAGTTCTCCTAGAACTAGAGACAAGATCAAATAGCTCTGTTTACATCTGTGTCATATCACGTGGGCCCTGTAACTGTATCTAATATCATCCACAACATTCAATTATTCAAAAACCATGATAGCAAAGTTCATACATATAATAATGAGAAACAGAGACAGGAAAGGAAGAGGCAGATAAAATTTTATCGGTTGGACTGAGACGCATTTTAGGGTTTGACATCATTCCAGGTAAAGGTGTTTTTTTGTTCTGTTTTGTTTTTTAACACAGAGTCTCACTCTGTTGCCAGGCTGAAGTGCAGTGTGGCAATCTCACCTCATTGCAACTTCACCTCCCACCCAGATTCAAGCAATTCTCCTGCCTCAGCTTCCCGAGTAGCTGGGACTACAGGCACGCACCACCACACCCAGCTAATTTTTTTTGTATTTTTAGTAGAAACAGGGTTTCACTATGTTGACCAGAACGGTCTCGATCTCCTGACGTGATCCGCCCACCTCAGCCTCCCAAAGTGCTGGGATTACAGGCTGAGTCACTGCGCCTGGCCAAAGATGTTCTTAAAATCACATCGTTGTTTCATCAACAGGTGCATTGCGCACCATCAACATGTGTGCTCAGCGATGGCCTGTGATTATGTGTGTTTCCCTAAACCTTGCTGATCAAAACTCAAAGTCCACCTAGGGCAAGGACAGGAGTGTATATATTTTTAATATATATATAATATATAAATTAAAAATTGATAAAAATTAATTGTAATTAATTAAAAATTAATTGAAAATATATTTTATATATTTAAATTTTTTGCCCAGACTGGAGTACAATGGTGTAATCTTGGCTCACTACAACCTCCGCCTCCCAAGTTCAAGCAATTCTCCTGCTTCAAACTCTTGAGTAGCTGGGACTACAGCCCCTCGCTATCACAACTGGCTAATTTTTTGTGGTTTTAGTAGAAACAGAGTTTAACTATGTTGGCCAGGCTGGTCTCAAACTCCTGACCTCAAGTGATCTGCCCACCTCATCCTCCCAAAGTGCTGGGATTACAGGCATGAGTCACCCACCTGGCTGGAGTTATATACTAAATAAATTTAAATAAAGCCCACATATCTGAGTGAGCACTTTGATAAAGCAAAGAAGTCACAAAAGATAAGAATGATGAAAACTCTACCACATAAATGAGATATTAAAATGCTGTCTGATTATGAGCTATCAACTTTTGAGTATCCAGATTAAGTAGTCCCAGTGCTTATAGAGTATATATAAATACTGTAAATTGAGGGAATCTATAGCACTGTGTTAGGCTAAAACAAAGTATATTTGACTGCTCTTTAATTGCCCTAAATTAAGATAATTATTTTTTCTTAAAAGGAGAAGGATTTTTTCATTCTACATTTCATCCTAAAACATTAGGTCATGTTTTACTCTGTAGCCTATATATTACCCTATATATTATAATTATATATATATATATATATATATTAGAGATCATGTGATATGGTTTGGCTCTTTGTCCCTACCCAAATCTCATCTCGAATTGTAATCCCCATGTGTTAGCGAGTAGGGGCCTGGTGGGAGGTGACTAAGTCATAGAGGCAGACTTCCCCCTTACTATTCTCGTGATAGCGAGTGAGTTCTCACGAGATCTGATGGTTTAAAAGCATGGCACTTCCCCTTTTTTCTCTCTCTCTCTCCTGCCACCACGTGCGATGTGTTCCCCCTTCACCTTTTGCCATGACTGTAAGTTTCCTGAGGCCTCCCCAGCCATGCAGAACTGTGAGACAATGAAACTTCTTTTCTTCACAAATTACCCAGTCTCAGATAGTTCTTTATAGTGGTGTGAAAATGGACTAATACATTATGAATAATCTCTAGTGTCTTGGTCTTCTAACATTCTTCAGTTGAGTAACTGTAAAGTATGGACAACAAGAGGTGAATAACATAAAACTCAAAGAGTTCTAAGAAAATTGGGTTAGCCTCAACTGAGACATATTGCTGAGGGTGTGTGGTTCTCAAATGCGATCATTTTACTTGCTTGTGGAAGTGGTTTGGATACAAATTGTTTGTACCCAAAATGTAGGCACTGTGCTGGGTGCTGGTTTATTTGTTTCCTTCTTCCAAAGCCTCTTTTTTTCTTAAAAGGTGTCCAAGCTACACAGAGCCACAGAATCTAACGGTTGTCTCAGAATTCCTCTTTATGGGACTCATGGATGATCCAGAACTGCAGCCCATCCTCACTGGGCTGTTTCTGTCCATGTACCTGGTCACGGTGCTGGGGTTGATTCCATGTCTTTGCTGTTGTGAATGGTATTGCAATGAACATACACATGCATGTGTCTTTATGATAGAACGATTTCTATTCCTTTGGCTGTAAATTCTAAGTGGTAAAAAATAACTGTTTAACAACAAATTATATGGCATTGACGGATAGTTTATTTGAAGTAGATATTTGAAGAAATCATGTTGCCTGGTGCTACAAAAACTCTTTTGTAACTTACTCATTTGAGGTTGAACAACTTTATCATCTGAACCATCACTCATGTTTTTAAATGTCCTCATTTCTTGACATATCCAAGTTCATCCAAATATCTGGCTATGAGAGCCACTCGTCAGCATTCGTAAGTTTTCCAGGAGATTTCAGACAAAACCAAGCTTGAGAACCAATTATATGAATCCTCACACATAGTCTACCTAAATAGATTTCATCAATGCAATTTGTACCAAAATTACACATGAACTGTGGGAAGGGATGTAAATTTGAAATAGAGCAGGTCCCTACTAAACATTCTCAATAGGTTCTTGTAAACTGTAACTTTAAGTAAAATGAGGTATACTAAATGAAACCAAGTTGTTTTGCTCATCAACATTATAATGAAACAACATTATTCAAGGACCTGCCATATATCCTTCCCTTAATGTCACAGTTTCCAAGAATCCATTAATCATGTTACATGTTTAAGTGATGATTTCCTGTACATAAAAGGAGAGTTGGGACCAGGGTGCAGTGGCTCACGCCTATAATCCCAGCACTTTGGGAGACTGAGGCGGGCGAATCACGAGGAAAGGAGTTTGAGACCAGCCTGGCTAAAATGGAGAAACGCCATCTCTACTAAAAACACAAAAAATAAGCTGGGCATGGTGGCGGATGCCTGTAATCCCAGCTTCTCAGGAGGCCGAGGCAGGAGACTCTCTTGAACCCGCAAGGCGGAGGTTGCAGTGAGCCAAGATTGTGCCACTGCACTCCAGCCCAGACAAGAAGTTGAGACTCTGTCTCAAAAAAAAAAAAAAAAAAAAAGAAGGAAAATGAGAGTTAAGAGTCACCTGAATACCACGGTCATCACTCAGAAGCTAAAAGGAGGCTGTCTAGGTATACTGGATTCAGTCACGATGTTTATGATGGACAAAGGATACTGGAATACCTACACATTCTAATTCAAGACATAACAAAGGAAGCAATATTTACATATGAAACATAGACAAGAATGAAAACCTTGAAGCAATAAAAACGTGGCCAAAGAAGCAGGATTTGCAGTCTGTGATGTTTGATTTTGTTGCCTTTTCTAACCCACATAACAAAAAGGATGGATCAGACAAAGATATTTGACTATTCTGCTATGCAACCTCTGCAGGGCACTTTTGATGTCTGAGTTTCTCAGGCTGTAGATAAAGGGGTTCAGCATGGGAGTGACCACCGTGTACATCACTGAAGCCACCACACTCTTCCTGGGGGAAGATGACACCGATGACCCAAGGTACACTCCAAGGACTGTTCCATAAAATAAGCAAACAACCGCCAGGTGAGAGCTACAGGTGGAGAAGGCTTTATACTTCCCACTTGATGACGGAACTCTCAGAATGGAGGAAACAATTTTATAGTAAGAGAAAAAGATCCCTGAGATGGGAAGAAAACCAAATACCGCAGCAAATAAATTCATGACTAAGTTATTATTGACGAAGGTGTCAGAACAAGCAAGGGTGAGGAGTTGAGAAGGGTCACAGAAGAAATTAGAAATCTTTATATCTTTGAAGCAAGAAAATTGTAAGGCAATCAAATTGTGCACCTGGGATATTAAAAGGCTAAGAAAAACAGACACCAACACTAAGAAGCCACAGAGTCGTGGATTCATGATGACTGGGTAGTGCAGGGGGTGACAGATGGCCACAAACCGGTCATAGGCCATCACAGCCAGGAGCAGGTCTTCCATACATGCAAAAAAGATTGAAAAAGACATCTGTGTCAGGCAGCTTGCATAGGTGATGTCTCTGCTATGAGTTTGAATGTTCACAATTGTCCTGGGGACAGTGGTGGAGGTGAAACCAATGTCAGCCAAGGACAGGTTCGAGAGGAAGAAGTACATGGGGGTGTGGAGGCGGGAGTCAGAGCTGACGGCCAGGATGATGAGCAGGTTCCCCAGCACGGTGACCAGATACATGGAGAGGAACAGCCCAGCGAGGACAGGCTGCAGTTCTGGATCATCCGGGAGCCCCATCAGCAGGAATTCCAAGACACCTGTTAGATTTTGTAGTTCTGTGTAGCTAGGACACCTTTTAAAAAGAGAAGAGGATTAGAAAATAGGAAACAAGTAAACCAGCACCCACTACTGTGTCTATTCTTTGAATAAAAGCAATTTGCAAGTTTTCACATGTGAGGACCATACCCACTCAGCAGGATTTCTCAACTGTGACAAACTCAGTTTTCTAAGAACTCTTTCATGATTGATATTTGTGTTAGTCACCTGTTTCTCTGCACATCTACTTTAGAGACACTTGACTAAACAATGTGAGAAGAGCAAAAATAGTACAGATAACAAATATATCATCACAGTAAAATACAGCCTACTTTTTTCAGAAAAAAAGTAAAGAGTAGGGCCGGGCGTGGTGGCTCACACCTGTAATCCCAGCACTTTGGGAGGCCAAGGTGGGCAGATCACCTGAGGTCAGGAGTTCAAGACCAGCCTGGCCAACATGGTGAAACCCTGTCTCTACTAAAAAATACAAAAAATTAGTTGGATGTGGTGGAAGGCACCTGTAATCCCAGCTACTTGGGAGGCTGAGGCAGGGAGAATTGCTTGAATCCAGGAGGCGGAGGTTGCAGTGAGCCGAGATCGCACCACTGCACTCCAGCCTGGGTGACAGAGTGAAACTTGATCTCAAGAAAAAATAAATTTAAAAAAAAGGCCTGAAGAATTAGAAATGAAAGAAACTCAGTCATTCCTTTCAAAACTCAGTGCATTCTTCTAATAGGACAAAAATAATATGTCCTGTCAGAGATGTAGGAAAGCCATATCTTCAGGTAACAGGACATTTAAGTTGAATGGTATGGAAATGACTAGCTTTAAAATATTAATAACAGTATATAAAACTTACTGTGCCTCTACTTTATGCATCCATCACATATAGGTCACCCAGGGAGCATCTGTGATCTGTTTAATCTCGCTTGAACAGAGGGCAAGTTGTTAGACTGCCTGGTGTGAACATGGCTTCACCCCTTCCTACCACTTGAGCTGGTACAAGTTATATAAAAATGCTTTGGATCAGTCAAGATGTCATGTTCTGGGAGGCGGAGGTTGCAGTGAGCCGAGATTGCGCCACTGCACTCCAGCCTGGGCCGCAAGAGCAAAACTCTGTCTCAAAAAAAAAAAAAAAATACGGTTTGTTTCTCTTTGGCATTCTTTCAATCTGCATATATTTACCAAAAATAGCAAAGTAGAATGCATTGTATAAGGTTAAAATATTTTACTGTGAAGACACTTAGCAATTATGATTCTACATCAAGACACTATTATTAAGTAAATAACAGAAAGGACAAGAGAGAAGCAAGGAACAAAGCAATGGAAAATAATTTATCTACATTTCTTCTCTTCAATCTATTATAGTCTGTAAATATAAAGACAAAATACTCAATGAATAAATGATTATTTTAGTTTAAAATGTTTTGTATCTTTCTTCTTCTGTAAAATAATAATGCGTGCATTTATGACCTGCGGAAGATGATGCAGATGAAATGAAATATGCTGCATCCAAGACAGAGCTCAAAGCCTGGCATTTAGGAATCCCTCAGTAAGGGTCACGAGGTCACAGGGACTGCCATCTTCCTCCTCAGCCTCATCATCACATTGACAACCCTCTGGGAGTGCTTACAGAACAGCTAAAAGGAGCCTGCTTTAGGCTGTCACCGGCGAGCTATCCACGGAACGCTGAATCAGGGAGGAAAGTAAAACTTGGGATGAGATTTCTGAGTCCCCACCACAACCAAGAACATAAACTCCACAGTCCTCAGAGCTGACGTTTCGCACATTGGTGTACTCCCATCTGCCACCACACTGTCCTGTTTGTGCTGAGGATGAGGAAACAAGCCTCCCGGCCGTCCCTTAGCACTCACTGAGCTGTGCTTCCAGTCTGCTGGGCCATGACCATGGAGAGCAGGTCCGATGTCCTCCCCTCGTGGAGCATGATGGGGGCTCAGGCTCCGTCCTCAGGACTGGCAGGAAGACAGGGTCAGACATGAGTCTCTTGATGCAGATGACAGGTGTGGAGCCCACTGGACTGGAAGCTCACACTGCAGGGCTGGAAGCACAGGCTAAGTATTTACTATTGTATGGCCTTGGGGGCTCAAGGCACAGAGCTCTTCATTAGCGAAATTTGTCCATGTTCCCCAGTCTCTAAGGACTTCTTCATATTAATGCAAGATGAGAAAATGAGTGTCCTTGGAAGATTTTAGAACTTTTCTCTTGTTAGAAGAAAGCTAATCTGTATGACTCACTTCTTTTATTTAGAGATCTGCTTTTAATTTTCATTTTTTATTGTGGTAAATATACTGCATATAAATATAAAAATTAGAAATATAAATGATTTTATATAAAGTGTCAAATATAAACATTTTATAAGTTTAACCATTTTTTTAGCATACATTTCAATGGCGTTAAGTACATTCACATTGGTGTATAATCATCACCACCATCCATCTCCAGAAATTTTCTATCTTGCAAACCAGAAATTCAGTCCCCTTTGAACTTTATTCATTCCTCCATCTTACCAACCCCTTAGCATAATGTCTTCAGGGTTCATCCATGTTGTAGCATGTGTCGGAATTCTCTTCCTTTTCAAGGCTGAGTAATGTCCCATTGCACAAATGGTCCACATTGTTTTTATCCATTCATCTAATTGACACTTGGATTGCATCCCCTTTTTTGACTATTGTGAATAATGCTGATATGAAAGTAGGTGTACAAATATCTGTTCTAGTTCATGTTGTTAGGGTTTTTTCTGTTGCCCAGACCGGAGTGCAGTGGCAAGATCTCGGCTCATTGCAACCTACGACTCCCTGGTTCAAGCAATTCTCCTGCCTCAGTCTCCCAAGTAGCTGGGATTACAGGCATGTGCCACCACGCACAGCTAATTTTTGGTTTTTGTTTTTTGGGTTTTTTAGTAGAGACGAGGTTTCACCATGTTGGCCAGGATGGTCTTGATCTCCTGACCTCAGGTGATCCTCCCACCTCGGCATCCCAGAGTGCTGGGATTACAGGCATGAGCCACTGAACCTGGCCTTTAGGCTGACAGTTACAAGGGTGTATTGCGTGACTGCATGAAGTTCTTTATGCCAAAAAAAAAAAAAATCTATTTCTATGCACTAAAACAGTTACAATTTAATTTTCAAAAGTGCCATTTAAAATAGCCATCACATTTTTTATTGATATGTAATCATTGCATATATTTATAGAGTACACGTGGTATTTTGATATAAACATACAATGTGTCATTGCAGATATTTAGAACATCCATCACTTCAAACATTTATCATTTCTTTTGCTTGGAAACATTTAAAATCTCTTCTAGCTATTTTGAAATATACAATAAATGGGCCAGGCACGATGGCTCACACCTGTAATCCCAGCACTTTGGGAGGCCAAGGCGGATGGATTACTTGAGGGCAGGTGTTCGAGGCCAGCCTGCCCAACATGGTGAAACCTCGTCTTTACTAAAAATACAAAAATTAGCCAGGTGTGGTGGCAGGTGCCTGTAATCCCAGCTACTCAGGAGGCTGAGGCAGAAGAATTGCTTGAACCCAGGAGGTGGAGATTGCAAAGAGCTGAAATCATGTCACTGTCACTGCACTGCAGCCTGGGTGACTAAGCGAGTCTCAAAATATATACATATATAAAATAAATTATTGTTAACTCTACTTACCCTACCGTGCTATCAAATATTAGAACTTATTCCTTCTATCTCACTGTATGTTGGTGTCCGTTAACCAAACTCTCTTCACCCCCAATGCCCACTCACACACCCTTCTCAGCCGCTGGTAACCACCACTCTTTTCTCTAACGCCATGAGATTCACATATTAGCTCTTACACATGAGTGAGAATGGGCAATATTTATCTTCCTGTGCCTGGCTTATTTCACTTTCCACTCGTGGCTGCAGATGACAGGGTGTGATGCATTTTTGATGAATTACATTCCATTCTGTATACATATTACATTTTCTTTATAAAAACTGAAAATATAGCAAATTTTTTAAAAATTAGTCTCTGAATGTGAAGTTACAGGAATACTATTACCATGTTATTCATTTTTATTTTCCTTTTTATGTGTGCACGAGAGTGAAATAGGAGAAAAAAATTATAGGTGTATAAATATATGCTGCCTAAATGTACAATAAAAATTATTGTGGGGCCGGGCGCGGTGGCTCACGCCTGTAATCCCAGCATTTTGGGAGGCCGAGGCGGGTGGATCACGAGGTCAAGAGATCGAGACCATCCTGGTCAACACGGTGAAACCCCGTATCTACTAAAAATACAAAAAATTAGCTGGGCATGGTGGCGCGTGCCTGTAATCCCAGCTACCCAGGAGGCTGAGGCAGGAGAATTGCCTGAACCCAGGAGGCGGAGGTTGCGGTGAGCCGAGATGGCGCCATTGCACTCCAGCCTGGGTAACAAGAGCAAAACTCCGTCTCAAAAGAAAAAAAAATTATTGTGGTAAAAATTCTGGCATAATGTTTCTTTTTTCTTTTTTTTTCTTTCTTTTTTTTTTTTTTTTTTTTGAGACAGTCTCTGTCTGTAGCCCAGGCTGGAGTGCAAAGGCACCATCTTGGCTCACTGCAACCTCTGCCTCCCAGGTTCAAGTGATTCTCCTTCCTCAACCTCTGGAGTAGCTGGCATTACAGGCATGCACCACCATGCCCAGATAATTTTTGTATTTCTAGTAGAGACAGGGGTTTCACTATGTTGTCCAGGCTGGTCTCAAATTCCTGACCTCAAGGAATCTGCCTGCTTCCCAAAGTGCTGGGATTACAGGTGTGAGATACCACACCTGTAAATTTCTACAGTGCTGAACGACAATGCATTTTAAGAAGAGATTTGAATGATTCATGTTGCCTGGTGTTACATTAAACTTTTTTGTAACTTACCCATTGGAGCTTGATCCCTTCAGAAACGTCAACACCTGAACTATTTCTGGTGCTTTTAAAATTCCTCAACCCACACAGGTCAAGTAAATTTTGGTAATAAGACCCAGGCCTCAGTATTTGTGAGGTCTCCAGGCAATATCAATAAAAACCAAATGTGAGGACCA